GATTATTTACTTATTTATTTGAGAGAGAGAGAGAGACAGCGAGAGCAGGAACACAAGCAGGGGGAGTGGGAGAGGAAGAAGCAGACCTCCCGTGGAGCAGGGAGCCCGATGCGGGGCTCGATCCCAGGACCCTGGAATCATGACCTGAGCCGAAGGCAGACGCTTAACGACTGAGCCACCCAGGCGCCCCTAAAGGTTTGGATCTTTAATCTGTCTGGAACATGTTTTGAAATTCAGTGAGTCATTATTGTCCACATGACTATCAATTGTTTCAACAACATTTGTTGAACCCACTCTTTCTCCCCAAATTCAAAATGTCACTTTAGCATCCACCAAGTTCCCATAAGTTTGTGGGTAGGACTGTTAACACTTCCTTTGCCTGTACCAACTGCCTAGAGTACTTTATGGTACTTTTTTTTTAATATCAGGGAAGGTAAATCTACCCTCATAACCTTTTCTCCCCCAGCTGCTCATCAGCTATTCTACACATACATTCTTCCAAATAAAATTTAGGATCATTTTGTCAAGTTCCAAAAAAACACCGTGGAGTTTTACAGAAATTGCACTGAATGTATAGGTTTCTTTGGGGACAACTGACATCTTCACAAAACTGAGGTTGGCTATCTAGAAACATGGCGTTTCTTCCTTTATGCAAGTCTTCTGTCCAGCAGCAAACATTTATAATTCTCATATTCATATATTTCTTGTTAACTTTATTCCTAGGTACTTTAAGCTTTTGTTGCCAGTGTAAATTAAAAAAAATTTTTTTCATTACATTTTCTAATCGGTGTTTCCGGTTATATAGGAGAGCTCTGCATCTGGTGACTTTACTGTACTCTTACCCTAATAGCACGAGATTTCTAACCAGGTAGCTCCCTGGTTAGAAATCCCCTAGTGTCTCCAGATTGCCCATAACAAAATGTAACCCCTTTTTATGGCACACAATCCTGTACCTTGTACCACCCTTCTGGCATTCTCCAGGCCAACACATTTTCTTAAGGTACCTTGGACAGGCCATGAATTTCCACACATTTACACCTTTGCACATGCTGTTCTCTCTGCTTGGAATTCCCTTCCCTATCTCCCTTCTCCACTCTACCTTCCTTACAGCTTTTTCTTCAAACTTAGTTCAACTGTCACTTTCCTAGAGAAGCCTTCCCTGACCTTCTATCCCAGACTGAGTAAAGCACCCCTTGTCTACACTCTCCCAGCAGCCTTCTGCTTAATTTTTTGTAGCTCTTGCCCCACTAAAATTTTTTTTCCTGAAAGTAACATGTTCATTTTGAAATGAATAAAGACCCAAGGAAGAGAAATCACCATAATTCCATCAGCAACATATTTTAATATTTTAGTAAGTGTTCCTTCCTTTTGTAAGGTTGGGAAGTCCAGCTTCCAGTTTCATGTTTGTGAGCATCCCGAAAAGGGTCTTGGATAGGTCGAAGGACATGGTTAAGAAGAGTGAGCCTCGAAGCCAGCCGACTGGGGGACTGGAAGAAAGGAGCCCGAACCTAGCTCCAATTCCGCCACCCTCAAATTCACACCCACTCCGTGCCTGGGACGCAGCTGCAAGCCACACTCAGTGGCCCTGCCCTCCCAGGGTTTCTTGCACCCGTGACGTCTGTGGCACATTCAGCCCCATCAACTTCTCTCCAAGGGTAACCCCAGGAGGTGGCTCCTCAAGCTTGAGTCTCCCGTTACTGGGGCCGGTAAAAGAGGCCATTTCAGAATGGCCTCATGGCTTCGTCTCCAGATCCAAGTGGCTTCTCCTTTCTTTTCTAACCCCCGTTCTCCCGATTTTCTCAGAAGCCCAGGTGGCTCACCCCCAAGACTCCCTCCGGGAAGGCGCTCTCCGTGTCTCTCGGGAAACACGGCCCGCCCAGCCTTTGTTGTATAAGCTGCACAAGGAGCCATATTTGCTTTCAGCCAAAGGCGGACGGGGTCGCCAGAGTCGGAGGGGCGGGGGACAACGGGGACCGGGGGGGGGGGCACTGCGCCCGCGTTTTAGTCCTAGCTAGACCCTGAGGAAGAGAAAGTGAACCCTTTTCCAGCTCCACCTCTGACTCACACGACCTCCTAGGGCCCAGGTTTCCACTTAACAATTTGCGGGGCGAGGAAATCACCTCGGGGGTGGGAACTGCTGCCCTACCGCTCGGATTGCTAACATGCCCTTGGCCAAGAGTCTCGCGGAGCCCCCCCGCGGGGGCTCAGACTCGCCCCGACGCCCCCGGGGCCAGGGGCGCCTCCCGTCGGTTCCGAGACCCAGGGCGCCCTGGGCGCAGGGCTCGGGGCTGGACTTTGCGCCCGTCCCCACGTCTTCCCTACGGCCCCACCTCCAGGGCGCGCAAGGACGCCCACCGCGCCCTACGCGCTGCGGGAC